ACCTACACTCACCTTTACTGGCTCCATCCCCGCCTCTTCGACCTGTTTGTTTCCTCTCCACCTATCCTCTCCTCTATCCCTCTTCTATCCGCCTCCCACTCTCTTCCTATTTATTTCGGAACCCCCTTCCCCTCCCCCTTTTCTGATGAAGGGTCTAGGCCCGAAACGTCAGCCTCTCTGCTCCTATGATGCTGCTTGGCCTGCTGTGTTCATCCAGCCCTGCACCTTGTTGTCTCCTTCACTTAGACTGCCTGATGGTCATTCATTTCCTTACTGCCTATACACTCTTATCCTGCATTATTGAACACTATTTGCTACCATATAGCTCTTTACCATGCAAATGCATACCAATGACAACAAATGCTACTTGATTTTCAAAACCAAGAGCTCAATATTGTGTAGCTAGCAACATTTCCTTGGTTTAGGACATATGGTGCCTCCATAACTTTGTGCATAATGTGGGATATATATTCCATTTGGATGAGCTGACTTGCCACAGCAAAACTTGAAAAACAAATTGCAGTTACAGTAACTAGACTAATTTATCATTTACTCAGCTATCAGCTTCTTTCCTGTACAAAAATACATGGGCAGATGTTGGCTGCTTTTGCAGAAGGGTTTGAGTACAAGTGAAATGTCTTCCTGCAGCTATACAGGGCCTTGGTGAGACTGTAGCTAGAGTATTGTGTGTATTTTTGATCTACTTACCTACTTAAAGATATGCTTGCCGTAGAGAGACGTGCTGAGGATCCTCCAGATTGATTCCTGAGATGACAGAAATTTTACAGGGAGAAATTGGGCTGATTTGGCCTGAATTGCCTGAAGTTAAGAAGGATGAGAGTGGATTGCTGATAGGCCGCATGTGGGGATGATGATCCTCCAAACATGGAGGCTAAGAACTAAAGGCCACAGTCTCTGGATATGGGGTAGATATCAGTCCTTTCGGTCTGAGCGAGAAGAAATTTCTCCACACAGGAAGTGGTGAACCTGAAGAATTCTTCAATGCATAAGGTTATAGAGACCAAGTCATAGGAAGTGTTCAAGGAAGAAACAGATTTCTAGACATTAAAGGCATCAAGGTGTTCGGGCAGAGCACGTGAGTGTGGAGTTGAGGTAGAGGATCATTAGGATTGTGTTGAATGGTGGAGCAGGTTTGATGGGTTGAATGGCCTACTCCTTCTGTTTTTCCTGTTTCTATGAGCCAATTATGGGAGGCTGTAAAGGTAGAGGAGGAAAGGTGTGCCTCCATCCCCTAGTCACTGAATTTCACAGAATGCAACCAAAATGGCACTCTGTTAAGACTAAGCACTAAAGGAAGCCTTGTTTATTCTCTGTCAAAAACAATTGACCTCTGTTTCTGAAAATCAAATTTGTCTCACTTCCTGGTTAGTTTGCTCGAGCTGTTCAGAGCCTGTGTACTGATTTTTTTAAATTGGAAAACTTAATTTTTCTAACTTGAATTTTTTTTTTTGTTTGTTGCTAAATTAAAGTAAAACAAAGATTAACCCTTAAATCTCTGTCATCAGCTCTCAGTGCAACCATTGCCGTCATGCTAAGGGATCAACTCTGCTTTAATGAAGAATGCAGGTGGGCCTGACAGCAGCAGTCATACTTAAACATTAGGTGTTAACCTGGTAAAGCTTGAGCACCTGTCAGCCCAACAACTGCAGCAACATTTGATAGAGCAAAGTGATTCCACAGCCAATGGAACAGATTTAAACAGCAGACCTGCCCCATCCAGTCATGAACAGCAGTGGATGATTGAACAACTAAATGGAGGAAGGGAGAACCACTGATATTTCCATCCCCGATTATTCTGGAGCCCAGTGCATTGGTACAAAAGACAAGGCTGAAACATTTGAAACCACTTTCGGCCAGAAGTTCCAAATGTACAATATATCTTAGCCTCTCTTGAGGTTCCCAGCATCAGAGTCGGTTCAGTTTGGTTTAGTCAATGTGATATCGAGAAATGGCTGAAGATGTTCAACTGAATAGGTTAAGGACCCTAATGACGAGCCAGCAGTCATGTTGAAGATTTGCACCCCAGAACCAGCTGCTCCTGTGCAGCCACATTGGCATGTACTCTGAAACGACGAGTTATGTCCTAACCAAAAAAGCAGGTCAATTACCACCCCTTTCAATCTACTCTCGACTGTCAGTTTACTGCTAGAAAATTTTATCAACATTACTATCACTAGCACTTATCAGAAATAACCCAAATTGAGCATAAACAAGCTGGTTATGCCAAGGCTACTTGGCTGCTCGCCTCACTGCAGCTTTGGTCCAATCATTGACTTAGGAATTGAATTCAAGTAGTGGGGTGAGGGACTGTCATTGACGTAAGGCAGTTTTTGTCTTGTGTGTAAAATCAAGGAGCCCTAGGAAAACTGATGTCAGTGTGAATCAGGGAGAAGTCTTTTTGTAGTTAAGTTATACCTAGCTATCGGGAGTAATACTGATAGTTGAGAATATTGATTCTTGTTTAGTGCACCCTAATTGGAAAAGATAACCATAAATTAAGTGTAGTGGAGATTTATTGTGACTGTTCCAAGAATACAAAGCTTTAGTTATGAAGAGAATTTAGCACAACCGAGAAGGCAAAGAATAATTTCAAATCCAATAAATTGCGAAAAGCTATTTCCATTCATCAATGACTGGAGCAAATGTAAGGTTATGGTCAAAACAAAAGGATGGCAAGGAGAAGTTTGTGGAGTGGTTCTTGTGTCATGTGTACTCCTATCAGATATACGATGGAAGCAAAAAATACAGTGGGTTTTGGAATGGATATTGGTAAATATCAAATGACTTTAAAAGACCGTGGATAAACGTACATAGTTCCTTGGGTACTTCCAGTGGTTTCCTTCTCTGCTGTAACATCATTCAATTCCAAATGACTATTCAACATTCAATAATTGCTTATTAATGATCCACATTTGTGTACGCTTAACTTTGCTAATGTATAATCTGTGGCCCACAAATATTCATACAAGTGTGAATGATGATGTCATAAAGTTTAAAAAAAAAAGTGGAATGGTAGTTTGATATGTCAGCATTTTAAAGAAACTAGAAGTCTGGGTGTGATTATTTATCACTCTCAGTACCTCTCGCCCACAGGTCTGACACTGTAGCTTCCCTGTTCTCCGTGGCCATGCTAGCGCTGTCTCTGTCCCTCTCTGGCACTACTCAATGCATGCATGCTCGCTCACTTGCCTCTCCCTCTGATGGTGAGAACACTCTTCTCACCCACAAATCCATTATGAACAGTCACCCACCCACTGGGGCCGGCCCCCTCCATTCTTGTTAGCTTACTGTTGCCCACCCCTGCACCCCCTCCCCGGCCTTCCTGTGCTTGCTTTGTTGCTGTCTCCTATCCCTGCTCCCCCAGCGTGAACTCTCATTGGCCCTATCCTACTCCTCTGTGGGCCTCCCCCACCTTGCACTTGCTTAGTCTCCTTCCCATGAATCCTCTCTGGCTCCTCCCTCTTCCGGACCCACTCGGCCATTCTTTCTGCTTTTACTTCCAGATGAGGTTGTAATTTTGTCACAGGAGTGCTGCAGCCCTTGAAATCTCACCCCCCACTTTGCGTTATAAATTCAAAATTACAAATCTGATTCTTTTTATTACTGCGGAAATTATAATTGGCTAGTGGCGTGACCCACTTAAGATGTGCTAACAATTGTGCTTTTTGGCCTGTCAACATCCTTTCAGATCAACTAAGGTTGGACAATATAAACAGCCTTGCTAATCTTGCCCAAGAATAAAGAACAAGTTTAAAAATAGTTGTTTTCAATTATTGCTCAGCTTTAATTGATCAGTGGTCTTGATGATACTCCAGACAAAATTACAACCAAGCAGATCTAGATTATGATAATTTACCTGATAAGCCTCTTGTCTATTTTTTTTGTTTTTGAAGATATAATGGCTGCAGAATGTTGGCTTATTACAGTTGACTGCCTTGTCTTTTTCTTTCAGGAGGCAATTATGGATGGGACCGAGATTGCAGTGTCGCCCCGGAGCTTGCATAGTGAACTGATGTGTCCCATCTGTCTGGACATGTTAAAGAACACCATGACAACAAAGGAGTGTTTACACCGCTTCTGCTCGGACTGTATTGTCACCGCACTCCGCAGCGGGTAAGGGACTGATGTGCATTGCCAGCCTTGGAGATGTTGCTTGTGTTTGGAAAAATAAGTGCACGCTATCCAATATTTTCAGAGGCTTGGAATGAAGTTATCTAACTAATGTGCTAGGTGGTTCATGAAATGGGATTTAGTGAGTTGCTGAATAGTGTTTAGTGTTACAGTATGAACTCTGGTTTCAAGGACTGGTCACTCCTATAAGTGAGACCTTTAGGGCAGCAGGCTGGGTTTATTACTAAATGCTGTTTTATTCATAATCTGGAAGATCCACACTGCTTTCTGTAGCAGTCTTCAGTCGGAGTTACAGCACCATCCTGTGATAGGGATCAGCTACTACAGTAATTGCTATTGTTCACAAATTGAAAGAGGAACAGACATGAAAGAATACGTTTTAGTTGATTATAGTGTAGTATCTTTATAGACTAAAGCTGTCCCAAAACACTTCATGCTGAAATGCATTTAATATGTCAGCATTGTGTAATTCAGCCATTTTGAACATTGTAGGTTCCCAGAGAGACATAAGTGAAGTATCCAGTTAATTAATCCAGGCTGACATTCTATCAATTAAAGCTGTGATTCCATTTCTCCTCAGCTGATCTTAATTCTGTTTTCTGGTTACTAATCCCAGAGGAAACATTTTTCATTCTCCATTTTCTCAGTTGAAAATTTTCTCTTTATTATTCTGAATCGACTAACCAAAAGATCCTCAACTGCTTGCCAGCTTTTCAACTGAGTCCAGCCAGTAAGCGAGAAGTACTTAACAGGGAAAAGTATTGCATCTGATTCCGTGTGGTACCTATGTCATGTGGTTTTGCATTATATATTGCGATGAAAAAAGATACTGAGACTTGTCCCAGCAACACTGTGCCATTGTATCATTTTCTTCATTTGGCTCTCCTATAATTCTGAATGAGATTGTCATATAGAAGCAAGGCAAGTTTATGTTGATCTATTTTCACTTAAATTGAAAGGTTATTTCTCATGAATTTTTTCTTATTCAGTCAGGGTCAAGGGCATCACTGGCTAGGTCAGCATTTATTGGCTATCCCTAATTTCCCAGAGAGCAGTTAAACGTCTGGAGTTGCATGTAAGCCAGACCAGGCAAAGATGGCAGTTTCCTTCCCTAAAGGACCTTAGTGAACCAGATAGATTTTTCCTGACAATAGACACCTAGTTCCAGATTTCTATTGGATTCAAATTCCACCATCTGTCATGATGGGTTTCAAACCTGGATCCCCAGAGCCTTACCTGGGTCTCTGGATTACCAGTCCAATGATAATACCGTAGGCCATTCGCTTCCCTATCTATCTAGTTTCAATTCAAATCCAAGAGAAAAGCCAGTATTGAACACAATGCACTGTTTTGCTTCCTGAGCTCCATCTCTTTAAATATTTATTCTTCCTCTTTCTGTGTGACTTCTTCCCCTTCCCTGATTGTAGGTTTTCCTCAACTGTACACCAAGTATAAAATGAGCGGTTGAACAGTTGTTTAATTCTCATTATATATAATTTTGTCTATTTGTTTCACCACTCACTAGTATTTGCTATGGAACCACTTTAGCCTGGGATCTCACACTGCAACTAAGTGTTGCCATTTCAGGCTGGCTTACATTACTTGACCTTCAATGAAGAATTCAGACTAGAATGTGCTTTAATGCCATGTTGGCTGGTATGTGACTGTCTAATAAAATTTTGGCTACTTTTGTGTAGAAACAAAGAATGTCCCACGTGTCGAAAGAAGCTGGTGTCTAAACGATCTCTCCGACCAGATCCTAATTTTGATGCGTTGATCTGTAAGATCTATCCAAGCAGGGATGAGTACGAAGCACATCAAGACCGTGTGCTCGCACGATTGAGCAGGCTCCATAACCAACAGGCTCTAAGTAGTAGCATTGAGGAAGGGCTGAAAATGCAGGCCATGCACAGGTAAGAGGGACTTTGTCCTCGATGGTATACCGAGCTTATTTTCCCCTCCGCTCCTCATTTGAACCTTTTTCAGTCAGGTTTCTGCTCCTGCCACAGCACTGAAATACCTTTTGTGAAAGTCGCAATTTAAGTCTTGTATGACACTAATTATAGCTTACTATGCCTCTTTTATTCGTGTTGACCTGTAATAAGCTTTTTACATGGTTGACTACATCACTGTTTTCCATTGTTGAGTTGGGTGGAGCTGCTGTAGACTAGTTCTGTTCCTCTCCAGTTGTAGCCAGAGAATCTCAGGCAAATGGCTTGTCTTGCATTTCCAATCCCTGAAGAATCTGTTGTCAGACCCCCTCCAATTTCGATCCCCTAGGTGACAACGTATGGAGGTGCATTGTCAGAATCCAGAGGTGTGCTGACGGTACCCAACTCTACCCATACATTACCAGCTCCCTCAGATTCATCATACTGGATGATCAGAGTTCCTCCTGTTAAATATTGAGTAAATAAAAGGCGGTTGCTGTTCACTACCTGTTTCCATCTCCAGTTTTATCCCCATCCCAGCCACTGCATGACTAATTTGTGCCCTTGGCAGCAAATGCTGAGCTTCAGTCTCCATGTCCTCTTCACCTTCATAATGTCACCTGTCTGAACACTGCCTCAGCTTATTGTTGCTGAAATCCTTATGCTTTTATTATGAGGTTGCCCATTTCAACTGGGTGGGCTTTTGCATTCCAGAAATTTCCATGCATCCAAAATTGATGCCATTGGTATAACTCCCTGCACATTCTGCTCACCCTTTTGACCTCCGTTTATTTTTCATTTTGACAGAATGCCGGATTTTAAGTTCTCAACTTTGTGTTTAAATCCATTCACTACTTCATCTCCTTCAGATATTTGCAGCCTCCTCTTGCCTTTTTAGGACTGCTGGATTTCCACGCTCCTAATCTGGCTTTTTGTACATTCTATGTTTCCATTGCCTCTCCAGTGATATTCATGGAGTACAGTAGGACACGAATTTCAGTTGCTTTGGCGTTAAACTTTGGACGTCTTTTTCATATACACCCCTTGCTCTTTCTTTAAGCCACTCATAAACTTGGTTACTTTGACCACCCTGTCTAATTTTAATGCTGTTTGGTCTCAAAACTTAGAATCATAGAGATGTACTGCATAGAACAGATCCTTCGGTACAGCTTGTCCCTGCCGACAAGACGTTCTAAATTAATCTTGTCCCATTTGCTAGCATTTGGCCCATATCCCTCTAAACCTTTCCTATTCATGTACCGATTCGGATGCCGTTTAAACGTTGTAATTGTACCAGTCTCCTCCACTTCCTCTGGAAGCGCATTCCATACATGCACCATCCTTTGTGTGAAAAAGTTGTCCCTCAGGTCCCTTTTTAAATCTTTCCCTCTCATCTTAAACCTATGCCTTCTAGTTTTGTACACCCCAACACTGGGGAAAAAGACCTTGGCTATTTGACCTATCCATGCCCCTCATGATTTTATAAACCTATACAAGTTCAGGCCTCAACCTCCGATGCTCCAGGGAAAGTAGCCCCAGCTTATTCAGCCTCTTCCTATTGCTGAAACCCTCCAACCTTGGCAACATCCTTGTAAATCTTTTCTGCGCCCTTTCAAGTTTCATAACATCTTTACTGTAGCTGGAAGACCAGAATTGCACCCAGTATTCCAAAAGTGGCCTAATGAATGTCTTGTACAGCTGCAACATGACCTCCCAAGTTAATACTCAACACGCTGACCAGTAAAGGCAAGCTTCACTATCCTTAAGAGGGAAGTTAGGAGACCCTTCACTATCCTTTCTACCTGGGACTCCACTTGAAAGAAACTATGGACCTGCACTCCAAGGTCACTTTGTTCAGCAACATTCCCCAGGACTTTACCAATAAATATATAAGTCCTGCGCTAATTTGACTTACAATGGTAGAGCACCTCACATCTAAATTAAACTCCACCTGCCATTCCTTGACCCAACAGCCCACCTGATCAAGATCCCGTTGTACTGTGGGGTAACCTCCTTGACTGTCCACTACACTACCAATTTTGGTGTCTTCTGCAAATTTACTAACAATACCTCCTGTATTCACATCAAAAAGCAGTGGACCCAGCACCAAACTTTTAGGAGCACTGCTGGTCACAGGCCTCCAGTCTGAAAAGCCACTCTCCACTACCACCCTCTGTCTCCTACCTTTGAGCCCGTTATGTATCCGAACGGTTAGTTGTCCCCGTGTTCATGTGATCGATCCTTGTTAACCAGTCTACCATGTGGAACCTTGTTGAATACCCTACTGAATTCCATATTGACCATGTCAACTGTTCTGCCTTCATCAACTCTGTTCATCACTTCCTCAAAAATCTCAATCAAGTCGGTGAGACGTGAAATCCCATACGCAAAGCCATGTTAGCTATCCCTAATCAGTCCTTGCCTTTCCAAGTACACTTCAATCTTGTCCCTTAGAATCCCCTCCAGCAACTTGCCCAGTACTGATGTCAGGCTCTCCAAACTCTAGTTCCCTGGATTTTCCTTACAACCTTTCTTGAATAGTGGCGCCACGTTAGCCAACCTCCAGTCTTCTGACACTTCACCTGTGGCTATCAATGATACAAATATCTCAGCAAGAGGCGCAGCAACTACTTCTCTCACTTTTCTCAAAGTTCTGGGTACATCTGATCAAGTCCTGAGGATTTATCCACCTTTGTGTTCTAAGGCATCCAGCACCCCCACCTCTGTAGTAATGGCACTTTCAAGATATCACTATTTATTCCAAGTTCGCTATCTTCCATATTTTTCTCCACAGTAAAAACTGATGCAAAGTACTCATTTTGAACACCACCCCCCTGCCATTTCGTTCGGTTCCACGCACAGGCGGCCTTGCTGATCTTTAAGGGGCCCTGCTCTGTCCCTATTTACCCTTTTGTTCTTAAAGTATTTGTAGAATCCCTTTGGATTCTCTCTTAAGTATACTTCTACTGCCCTTATACTGTTCTAGGGATTCACTCAATCCCTGCTGTCTGTACTTTACATATGTTTCCATCTTTCTCTTGACCAGAACCTCCATTTCTTGTCATGCAGCAGCCCCTACACCTACCAGCTATACCCTTCACTCTTACATGAGCATACTGTCTGTGGACTCTCGTTATTTCACTTTTGAAGGCTACCCATTTTCCAGCTGTGTCTTTACTTGCAAATAACCACCTTCAAATGCTTTTGAAAGTTAGTGACTAATTCTGTCAAAATTTGCCTTCCTCTAATTTAAACTTTAACTTTCAGATCTGGTCTACCCTTTTCTGTCATAATTTTAAAATAAATAGGATTATAATTACTGGCCCCAACGTGCTCCCCCACTGATACCTCCATCGCTTGCCCTGACTTATTTCCCAAGAGAACGGCGAGGTTTGCTCCTTCTCTAGTATGTACATCCACATACTGAAAAAGAAAATTTTCTTGTACACACTTAACAAATTCCTTTCCATCCAAGCCCTTAACATAATGGCAGTCCCAGTTTATGGTTGGTAAGTTAAAATCCCCTACCATTACCACCCTAGTATTTTTAGTGAGAACTGAGATCTCCTTAGAAATTCTCAATTTATGCTGACGATGGGCAGGGGTTCCCTGTATAGTGCAATCCCAATAAGGTGATCATCCCTTTCTTATTTCTCAGTTTCACCCAAATAACTTCCCTGGATCCACTTTCCGGAATATCCTTCCTAAGCACAGTGTAATGTGGTCCCTTATCCTGAGGACCACAACCCTTCCTCTTGCCCCCGCTTTCTATCCTTCCTGTAGCATTTGTACCCTGGAACATTTAACTGCACGTCTTGTCCATCACTGAGCCATGTCTCTGTATTAGCCATGATATCCCAGTCTCGTGTTCCCAAGATGTGAGTTCATCTGTTTTACGTGTCAGGCATCTTGCATTGAAATGAATGCAGTTTTATTTTGTCATTTCTAATCTGTTCCCTACTTTGCTCCTGCCTGCTTTGACTGTTTTTGACTTGCTTCTTTTCCCAACTGTACCAGCCTCAGACTGATCTTGTTTCTCACCATCTCTCTAGGTTTCTGTGATTGCACTCTGGTGAAATACCTCAAAATGCTTTCGTGTGTTAAGTGACATATAAATGCAAGTTATTATTGCAAGGTTATAAGAAGGGCCCTGCATTCTTAGGCATTCATGGGTGAAATAAAGAAACCAAGAGTCATTCTCATTAAGTATTACAACAAACAGGAGGTTTCGAAGTTTGTGGGCAAAAAAAAATTGGAAGACTTAAGGTGGAATTGGAAAAATTAGAAGGTTCAATGTTAAATAGGTATTAAATAGTAGATGGGAGGAAAAGGATCGGAAAAGAGGTTAGTTCAGAACATAGAATTTGTATCATTATTTATTACAAGCCAGAATTCTGAAATATGAACTTTATAAGAAAGCATCTCCAAATTAGAATTATGTTTCACTCATTGATACAGAGATTTGAGTTATTGTAGTATGTGTTCATTTTTCTGTTGAGTCTTTGAAATTACAACTTGGGGTAATGGTTTAAGAATGTTCATGTGTTGCTCTGAAATTTTTATCTGTTACTTGAATGGAGGTTCTAATCATTATTTTAAAATGTTAAGTTTGTAAAATCAAGGAACTAAAAGTTTTGTGAGCTAGTATCTCCCATATACTTTGACATCCATATTGTTTTCAGTGGGCACAGTATAGTGCCTCAGCGAAAATGACTTTTTGTGACTTACTGTTAATTTTGACACCATCGTGAAGACTGGTGACCCTTACTACCATTCATACCACAGTCCACCATTCATACCACAGTCAAGGGGACAATTGCACTTGCAGATTTCTGGTTAGCCAGATCGGTGGAATTATCAGATTCTGTTGTTTCTTAGACTATGTTGTCTATATGATTTCCATCTTGAATTATTGGATAGTGATCCATTGTGGACCTGAGAGGCTCCAGAAGTCAACTCTGGTGTCTCTACTCTCTCGGCTGAGATAAGATAATCTTAGAATGGTTATGGAGTTTCTCTCACTCAGTTCTGCACTATATAGTTCAATGGGTAGGCAGAGACTGTGGGACTTAAAGTTAGTTTTGACAGACAATTCAGATGTTTCATTATTGGATTTTAAACATTATTCTTGTGGGTTTCAGATGACTGCATTCATCCTCTCTGTTGTAGATACGTGTATTTTAAGTATGCTGAATTTCTCCAACCCCCACTCCCAATTTTCCCTTTCATAGAGCTCAGCGAGTAAGGAAGGCACAGCACGAATCAGACAATACTACTTTCAGTGGTGGGGAAGACAACTGTGACAGCCGCTCTCACGTTAGCAACGTGTCTACGCACAGCAATCAGGAGGCTGGTCCAAGCCGCAAACGCTCTAAAGCTTCAGATGACTCTTGTCCTGATCTGGATAACTCACGGGAAGGGGCAGGAAGTCCAGATGTCGGGGTGGACTCTTGCAGTGAAATCGAGCTGGTGTTCCGACCTCACCCAGTACTTGTGGAAAAAGATGAATATTCACAAACAAGGTATGGGAAGTGGCATCAGCAAATAACTTTCCACGTGTAAAGTATTGTATTTCGTGTGTTGAGGTGACAGCTTCTGTTCTGGTTCAGTTGCATCCTGTTTCTGACCTGGCTCTGTTATATTCTATCATTTAATTATTATTCCTTCAGCGCTCACATCCATGTCGTTAATGTGCATAACAAATAGTGTGGGTCTCTGCACCGATCCCTATGATACACTGGTCACAAATACAAAAATTTCCATCCACCTTCTATTTGCAAGTCAGTTTTGGATTCAGTTTACACTTGTCTTGGATCCCTTGGGCTGTTATCTTCTGGACCAGCCTTCCAATGTGAAACCTTGTCAAAGGCCTTGCTGAAGTCCATGTAAACCACATCAACTGCAATGAAAAACAACATTGACTACATTCTGTCCTAATTAAAATTGTTACTTTGGTAATTTCCAATCCTCTGGAACTTTACTAAAACCTAAGGGTTCTTGGAAGACCGTCACCAGTGCATCTGCTATTTCTTTAGCTACTTCCTTTAGTATCCTAGAATGCATCCATCGCATCCAAGTGACTTGTATTTTTCAGTCATTAGTTTTCCTCGTACTTTTTGTAACGTGATACGAATTGTATTTACTACCTCCTGCTTTTTTGATCCTTGTTTATTTATTATGTTGGAATAGTATTCATGCCTTCTACCGTGAAGTGTAGTATTTATTCAACATCACTGCCATTTATTGGTTCCTGATCGTCGCCCCAGCCTCATTCTCTGAGGGGCATGTGTTAACTTTGACCTCAATCCTGCTTCATTAGCAATTGTCAGATCTGAAGTAGCCTGATCCTGATTGCACCCACAGATAAAGTTCTAAATAAACGGAATTCTTCCTTGTGACTAGCTGCCAATTTGATTTTCCAACTTACATGAAAATTAATGTCACTTGTGGTTAATATACTGACTTTTTTTACATGCCTTCCAAACAGGTGACATGGTGGCTCAGTGGTTAGCATTGCCTCACAGCACCAGGACTTGGATTCAGTTCCACCCTCAGGCAACTGTCTGTGTGGAGTTTGCACATTCTCCCTGCATCTGCGTGGGTTTCCTCTGGGTGTTCCAGTTTCCTCTCTGTCCAGAGATGTGCAGGTTAGGTGGATTGGCCATGCTAAATTGCCCATAGTGTCCAGGGATTTGCAGGCATGGGAAGTGCAGGGTTACAGAGGTAGGATAGGGGGTGCAATTGGGTGGGATGCTCTTTGGAGGGTTGGTTTGGACTTGATGGGCGGAATGGCCCGCTTCCAGGCTGTAGGGATTCTTTGATTCTATCTCCTGATTTATAATTTGTTCCACCCTTTGGCCTCTGATAAGGATCCTATGGACTTCTCTGACCAGTGTCATCATCCTCTTGTTATCTCTTCCTTCCATCTTCATGGATTTTGCAACACCTCAACTTGGATCAGAAATTCTTCTTGAACATTTAAGACAGACATCCTTTGTCTGGATCACCTTTGTGTCTGACCGTTTCCTCATGTTGCAGTGGCAAGTCACCTGTCCTGCCATCACTATTATAATTTAAGTGATTAATGACTGTAGATTCCCTAGTTTTTACACTTTATTTTAACTCACCCAGAGTGTTGAGCCTATGGAATTCTCTGCCATAGAAAGTGGTTTAGGCCAAAACATTGAATGTTTTCAAGAAGAAATTAGATATTGTTCTTGGAGCTAAAGGGCATGGGGAGGGAGCGGGAACAGGTTACTGAGTAGGATGATCAGTCATGATCAGATTGAATGGTGGAGCAGGATCGAATGGCCTACTCCTGTTTCTATTTTCTATGTTTCTATGCAAACACTACTAAATTGTGTACATAGAGCTCTGCAAACAATAGTGGGTTTGATGGTCAGATATTGTCAGTTCTGGTGATTTTGTTTGAGGGATATTAATAATAGAATTGAGAAGTAAGGGAGAATTTTCAAAATGCCTCCAAGTTACTTTGCCGTCTATCAGATGAGAAATTGTTCTACTCAGCTTTATCTTTGAAGAGCATAGCTTGAGTTTTATTATTTCATTTCTTTCTCTTCCCCTTTGCTATCTTATTCTGAAACTACGATGCGCACTGATGGCTCAGATATGTGAAGACTACTGCAAATGCCACTGTGGACCATTTGTCTAAGTACCTTGCATTAAGAATTGCTTTGGAGGAGCAGCAGAAGAGCATTGGGAATAATGCTGTCAGTCTGGAGGAAGTCAGTGAGAAACAGTACACGATCTACATCACCACCTCGGGGGGCCAGTTCACGGTAGGTCCATAAAATCCATGTTTTGACCCATTGTATGCATCTTAATTGTTCTTTTGTCTTCATTTGATGTTTCTGTTTCCTCCTGTGTTCCACTTGTGTCAATTTGCATGTCTTTCTTACCTATATCATTACTGTGTAGAAATGGACTTTCATCATGAAGGGTCCTGCTCTAACTTCCTGGTTTTCAACACTGTTTCTTTGCCTAACTTCATCTATCCCTTTCTTCAGCAGGCTTTAAAGTCCAATTTAGCTTCACCTCTAGTTTATGTTGTTTCTCCTTTCGTGCTTTGGACTTTTTGAGGTTTTCCAAAAGAAATTAAGGAACTAAGGAAAAGCAGAATTGCCACATTGAAGTATTTTCTGCGCATTTATGTATGACTGAGAATTTAATGTTGAGATGCCCGTGCCTGTGGTAAGAGGCAGGACCTAAGTAGGGACATTTACAACACATACTGTACAGCTGTTCCCCAACTCCTTACCAATTTCTCTCTTCTTTCTCTGCTTCATCCTCCCTGCAAAAGGTGCTGATTGTTTGATTGTCTTTAGTTAGTCTCTTCAACCGGTCATTCTCCATTTGTGAGCTGTCATGGTGAACTTGAGTGGTGATTTACAAGCTCAGTTTCAAAATTCTCATCCTTTGCAGCTTTTTCTCCCTCTATCTCTTTAATCGGTCATAATCCTTTGAGGTCTCTGTTCCTCACAAACTTGTCTCTTGCCCATTCCTGATCATAGTCTGTAATAGCTGTCTCTAAGGTGCCTGGGAATTGCCTCCCTAAACTCCTCCGCTTCTCCACTCCTCTTAAAATATTCTTTAAAACCTGTACTTTGTCACATGTTATCATGTTTCCTTTGTGTCAGTTTTTTTTGGTTGGTACTTCCTCAAAGTGCTTTGAATTATTTTGCTGTTTTTAAAGTGTTAAATAAAAGCAACTAGTTGCTGTTTTGGAGGTAGGAGGTATCCTGATCTTGACCAGAGACGAGAAACGTATAGAAATATCTCTGACTCTAAGTAGAGATTTGACGCAATGACTAAGTTAATCTATCCCAGATCGCTATCCTCATAAATTGCAGTCTGTCCATCGTCCGTGCAGCCATTCAAATTAACAGCACGACTAACAAACCAAGCAATTCTCCTCCCTACCTCCTAACTATTCCCTAAGTGAACAAAGTTCCACTGGTATGCTATTCCAATAAACGTAAGTCCCACTCAACCCAAATAGTAAAATAAAACTAAAACTTAGTCTCTCAAAACCCACACAGAATGTGTCTCCTTGGAACACTGTTTCTGCATGGTCTCTCCAGTCATAAACACATTTCTTCCACTGATCCTGCTGTCAGGGATGTTTTCTCCATGAAGACTCTTAATTAGAAGTGCCATGGTACCTTTTATGGATAAGATACTGCTTTCTTAGAGAGTATAACGATTTCTTGAGAACTGGGTGCTTATTTCTCAGATGGTTGCTCGCTCTCACTGATTTTTCAAAAACCCTCTCCTTATGTACCTTGGGTGACATATCAATTTTCTAACAATAGCATTGGTCCGAGGTTGTCAAAACAATCCGATTTAAATTCATTTGGCTTTCAATCGATAAGTGTTTGGTTTAAAATTAATTGGCTGATTCCAGCTAGTTGGCAAAACATCAAAACAAGCCTAAGGTTTCCAATCACAGCCAACTGATACATGTTTCAATTTTAGAGCTGGCTGTACATCTTCAGCTACATGCAGACACTTTTTTCATAAGTCTTCTAAGTTTAGAAAAGCAATTTATCTCTTAAAGGAACCCACACACTCTACACAACTTTGTAACACTCCCCAGGTGAGAGCAACTAATCCAGTGCAGAATGTACCTCAGACCTCAGTGAACTGTTTTGATTTACTGCTGCAATAGGCAGCCAGTTTAACCAATCTTTCTCTTTCTGGAATTTTCATGATGGGACATGTACTTAATTTGTCTTTGAACTTCTTGCAGACTTTGAATGGATCGCTGACACTGGAATTGGTAAATGAGAAATATTGGAAGGTCAGCAAGCCTCTTGAGCTATACTACGCACCCACCAAGGAGCAGAAATAGTGAAGGAAGAGGACTAAAAGAAAACTGCTATCTGCTTGCTTGCTCCTTCCATATATTTGCCACAATAAGACTGCAACAGCTTTTTTGGCTTTGGAGATTGTGGAAGGGACTGTGCTGAATCCCACAAGAGAAGGACTGGCTGGAAATTTTGAATGCAGGGCCAACGAGGACATTCTCTTGCAGTCTTGGTTAAGGGTATAGAATAAATCTGAACTGTTACATACCATGTCTCCTGTGTCCTCTGGTGCTGGGTGCAAATGTGTGTTTTGAGTTCAGGATCACGTTTTGAGGTTTGACCTTATTTCTACTGTGATCAATCGGTCATCCCAGCTAGTGAGTAGGTGTTCATGGAGCCCTGTGGTTCTTGTGCAGGTCCCTTTCGTTAGAGAACTGCTGATACTTTATATATATATATACTATATATATAATATATATATTATATATATATATGTGGTTAGCCAAATCCATTAAATGAAACAGAACATTGAGGTTGCACAGTACTGACAGTGCATACTCTTTTGTAGCTGATGAGGGGTTAGTGGGCAAACAAAGAAGATTTTAACCATTTGAAAGTTACAGTCCCCAAAACAATTTTCATGTCAGGTTTGATGTTTTTTTAGATGTACTATTTCTTCATTTTTCTGTTTTTCCTTTTGTGTGTTTATAACAGACATGGCTGCATAATATCCACAATTATTATATATCAAAATCTTCAGCTCCGTTTGTCGCTGATGTGCATTATTTTGGTTTTCTGCTTCTACATTTTATCTACGTAAATGTTTTACAAAAAATTCAAAGTCCTGCGCTTAATTTATTAGATATTCAACATTCTCAGCTAGTATTAAATTCTTCCTCTTCTCCTCCCACCCATCTTTTGTTTGTTGAGCAGCTGGTTTCCTTTCAGTCCCTTCATTGAGAATAACCCTGAACTTTCTGGGTTTAAATAAAGTGCCTGTGCCAATTGGCCTAAAGTTTTGATCCCCCTTGCACAGCTGGCTCATGTTTTCATTTTGTCTCTCATTTGTCACTGTATTTGAAGAGGAGTTTTTTGGTGAACAAAAGTTAGATGTGTTACATGATGATGTGTTTTTGAGATTTGAGACTGGTTTTTTTTTTGTTTGAAGATTGCTCAGTTGACCTTTGATGCCATGAAGGTACTTGTACCCATTTCATACCTGTTGCTTTGGAATGGAAAATCCAACCTAGTCATAATTTTCCCTGTCTGTCACCTTGATTTGGATTTGAGAAGGGAGGGTGGGGAAGGGGTTATTTTTAAGGGTAAATACTGTTGTGTGCTGACTTACTGTATCACATGAATTTCATATTGTGTGATTAGGAAATGTTTTAATATTCAGAGAATAAATTTTATTGAGTGAGTTTTGTTTTACTAGAAAAAGACGTGCACTTAAAAGATACATTCTTCTGCTTTCTGAAGTCATGGACTTTTTTTATCTTCTTTCAACACTTCTCCCTGGTTGTTTGTATGTGTGAACCTTGATCCACCTGTGTTGACAGACTCTTTGCACCAGCAATGCTGTTGAGCCAAACTTCTTCCATTCTGGCTCACAGGTGTAGAAAATAGTGATTATCTTGCGATAATTGTTCCTCCTGACCCAAGGCCAGTGTTGTCAATTGCACTTCATCACTGTGTTCTTGACAGAGCTTTGATAAAGTAGTAGAGAACAAAGATTGAGTGTGGCTTTGATACTGAATAAATTTTCTGCTCTCTACTCTTGGTTTTGGCTAGAAGATTGTTTCTTATATACTTTGTGAGACCACTCTGATCCATGCTAGTTACTCTCACTGCTTGAAATACTCATGCATGCAGTAGTTTATCCAACCGTGATGCACGATACCTAAATAGGTTTTGATGAAATGAAATATTGTAAATTGATAATGTTGAAGCTTTGAGAGAAATTGAACCGTGAACCATATTGCATAGTTCAGAAGGAAAATAAGTATGTCAAATGCAGTTTAACTCAACAGAATGTGCTGAATATTATGATCCTGTTGTTCCACAAACCGTGTTCGGGATGTATAAATCCCCATTTGACCATGAAAATGACCAATTTGCCTGATTGGCTGCTAATCAGGACACAAGCAGTTCACATCAGGCTTTGTTGTTAAGTCAAAGTAAATATTTATTGTCACACTTAACTTTCACAAAAGTAGAGAAAAAGAATTTCTAATCTTCTGCTATGCAACTCCAGCTATATTCTTTCAAAAACCCCAAATGCATGTATGCTCAGTTAAGGAGACAAAATACAAATATTTTGACACATACTGAGTGAGTGGATAAAGAACAGAGGGTAAGCAAATTCTGAAGAACAAAAATTTGGATTTGAATGTTGGGTTAAATTGTCTCATCTTTTTGATCTTAGTACAGATGACATCTAAAGGATGTGTCAAAACTCTTTCTTTTCGCTTTCTTGGTTTTCTGTCTCCCCTCACAAATGTGTTGAGATGGATGCTATCAGTTTGAGGGCTATGATCTTGTCAACAGGCAGAATTTCCTTAACGCTCGAGTTTTGATGTCACAAGGTTTCAAATTGAGGTTCACCTTGTAAAAGTGAAAATGCTAACAGTTTGCCTTCTGTTTGAAATGTGTTTGTTGCAACATTTTTGCCTATCCTTTCTTTTGCTACTTTGTACTTCTGTGAGCCTTTCAAAAAGGATGGACATGCAATCCAACATTGAGAATTCCTCTTTTTTGTCCTCTTTTTAATAAAAAGAGTCAGAGTCAGAGTCATTGTTATAGTCATACAGCACAGAAACAGACCCTTTGATCCAAGCAATCCATGCTACCAATAATCCCACACTAAACTGGTCCCACCTGCCTGCGCTTGGTCCATATCCCTCCAAGCTTTTCCTATTCATATATTTATCTCAATGTATCTCAAATGTTGTAACGTTACCAGCATGCACCAGGTTAGTATGAACCATCGAAACTGAGTAGATTCATCTGTGGAATCTCTGGTTGTAATTAGTAATAAATCTAATACTTTGTCCAAATCCTGTAGATGTTTGTGACAACTGGCTTTAATCATTGCTTTGAGAGTCTGGTGGTATCTTTCCAAAGCTTTGTGTGCTTGGTGGGTCACGTTTCAACTCTTTTTATATCCAAATTGCTTAGTCCTTGAAATTTTAGGCACAAAGTTTGAACACGGTCTGACTTTATTACAGTCCATAACTACTTTAAAAAAAAACAACTTTCTTCTGGAACTGTCTCTGCTGTAATTGCCCTTGTAGATTACGTTGTCATATCCATACTGTATTACAGGTGTCCTGCTTTCGTTTTCAGACTTGACTGGTTCTTCAAAAGTTGGTATGGTTATATAATTCTTTTGAGTTAATTAAATTTAGTGATACTCTCTTGCTGTGTTCATTTTCAAAGTTAGTGCAGATTTCCTACCAGCCAAACAAGTCTCAACCTCTCTGTGACATCACTCCGTATATTTTGTTTTTGCAACTACAGTGCCCCCCAGCTCAGTTAGTTTTATACTTGCCTCTGCTCTGCTGCTCCACCCTCTGACAACTTAGCTGACTAGGCTGTGATACCTGAGCTCTGGTAGTTTTATATTCACTCTACTGCTGTTGCTCTGCCTTCCGACAGCTTCCTGCCAATGTTCTGGCAACATCAGTTCAAATCCCATGTGGCAGATTATACCATATTTTTATTGAATTCAAATTTAACAAAGAAATCAAGCCTAATGGTGACCACATAGCCATTGTTGAGTTAAAAGAATAATGAAGCAGATTAATGACATTTAGGAAAGGAAATATGCTATCCTGGCCTGCATGTTACTGTGAACATACAGCAATATGGGAGACTCCTAATTGCCCGGCTGAATTGTCCTCAGGGTAGTGATAGAGCGAGTAATATTCACATTCATGAACTTTAGAAAGATAAAGGACCTATGGGAAATAAGGCACTTAATGATATCAATTTTAAAGAAAATGTGTGTAATACCCAAGAGTAGTTGGCCAGAATATTTTTAGAATTAGCAAAGTGTGACTAAATCAAAATAGTAAAGAGAGAGAAATTATAATGAGTGTCAGCCAGGAAAAAATATAAAGCAGACAGTAAGAGTTTCTGCAAGCATGTAGAAAGTGGAGTTGCCAATATTTATATTAGCATAGAGGATTTATAGTAGGAAAGGATATCTCTGGTTTTGAAATGAATTATTAACTGTACTTTAGTATATCTGTCAATTTGATGTTCCAAAATGTGAAAGTATTTCCATGCTTTTGGGGGTGATGTTTGCTTACCTGATTTCATGTCAGAATGAAGGGTTTATCTAAAGTTTACCTGCAGCTATGTGGAACAGTCCCTCTTCCACTGTTACACCAATACAATCCGTCACCACTCCCTCTGCTACATCGATGACTGTCAGTGCTGCCTTGTGCTCCCATGAGGATCTTGAACTTCTTTAACTTTACCAACACCTTTCACCCCAACCTCACATTCACCTGGATCATCTCTGATACCTCCCTCACCTTCTTGGAACACTGTCTCCATAACTGATAACTGTCTCAGCATGACATCGATCTCAAACACATGACCTTAACTACAACTCCTCTCACCCACCGTCCTGCAAGAATGCAATCCCTTACTTCCAATTCCACTGCCTCCTCTGTGTATCCGCTTGCAAGATGGGGCATTCTACTCCCAGAAATCCCAGATGTCGTCCTATTTCAAGGACCGCAACCCCCCCCCCCCGCCCCGATCTAAAATGCCCTCAACTGCATCTCTTGCATTTCCTGCACATTTTCCCTCAAACACCCTCTGCCCCCCACCCAACAAAAATAGTGTGCCCCTGGTCCTCAAATACCACACCACCAACCTCCAGTGCAGCATCCTTTTCCACTTACTATCCGACCCCAGCACCAGAAATAATTCCCTTATCTGCCTTTTGTAGGGACTGCTCCTTATGTGACTCCCTTGCCCACTCCATACTCTCGGCCAACCCCACCACACCTTTCCCTGCTTCCGCAGGAGGTGTTACACCTCCATCTGAGTCCCAAGACAAACTTGTGTATCCGATAGGCTTACCTGTATATCCTCCAACCTGGTGTACTGTATCCGTTGGTCCTGTTGTGGCCTTCTCTACATTGGTGAGACCAGATGTGGACTTGGTAACCGATTTGCAGAACACCTATGCTCCCTACACTAATCAACAACACCTTCCAGTTGCTAATCATTTTAACTCCCACTCCCTGGGTGATATGTCCATCCTAAGCCTCCTCCAGTGCCATAATGATGCCGCACATAAACTGGAGGAACGGCACCTTATAATCCACCTTGTTGGGGGGGGGGGGGGGGGTGCCTACAGCCTGATGGCCTAAAAGTAGAATTCACCAATTTCAAAATCTCCCCACCACCAGCCTCATCCCATGTAGAAGTCTCCCTGCCTCCTTGACCTGATGCTACCTGTCCATCTTCACTATCTATCCGCCCTACCCTTCCCACTGATCAATCCCCACTACCCCTATCTGCATCCATCTATCGCCATCCCACCTACCTTCCCCTCCCTCCCCAGTCCTGATCAAGGGTCTAGGCCCAAAACATTGACTGTCCTGCTCCTTTGCTGCCCGACCTGCTGTGTTCCTCCAGCTGCACGCTGTATTGACGCTATTCAGCATGTTACTTTCGTGACCTATGCAGAACCACTGCTGCATGCAAAGAGAGTTACAGGCAAAATAATTGTGAAACCAAATCAAATTTTAATACATTTCCTTCCACAACATACTGAATATTATACCTGTGTAATGTTCACTTGTTGAAATATCTCATAGTTTAGAATTTAAGCTGAAAAGGGATGCCAAAGATGAAAATTCTCTGATGAAAATTCTAAACTCTATTCTCCTGCAGTGTTATTCTGTCCATTTTCGTCCCCTTCCCTTCCTCAAGTTCCATGAAAGCAAAGTTTGGGAAAAGATGTCCTCTCTGTTGAGGTCAGTGGTATTACTCGGCATATTACTGTTGCCTCTGAGGTGTCCCCTGACCTGACAATTTGTTACACTTTATAATACTGTCTGAAGCAGAAAACATCAGTGCATATTTAGCGTCGGACACTGGTGAGCTACAGTATCAAAAGAATATTACTGAGGGTGGATCAATTCTGAGGGAGTGCTGCCCTGACAGAAGCGAATGAAAGGTCGCTGTACTGTCAAGAGGTTCAGCACTGAAGGAGTGCTGTGCTGTCAGAGGGTTAACTGAGGGAGTTTTTGCACTGACAGAGGGTCGATTCTGAGAAAGTGTTGCAAAGACTGAAGCTAATGAAATGATGCTCTACTGTCAAAAGCTCAGCACTGACACTGCACTGTACTGACTGTCATTGCTGAGGCCGTGCTGCACTGATTGGGTCAGCGCCAAGAGAGTTCTGTATAGAAGGGCTATTACTGAGGGAGTGTCTTTTGGTAGAAGAACACATGCAGAACATTCCTTAAATGGCAAAGTGGTTAGAAAGTGTAGAACTACAAATGTCTGCTAAGTCAGTGAAGGTTGACATGCAGATGCAGCGATCTATTAGAAAGGCAAATGGAATGTAAACTTTTTTGCATGAGGATTTGAGTACAGGAATAGTGAGGTCTTGCTACAATTGTATAGGAACTTGGTTAGACTGTGCATTTTTCAGTCTCCTTATGTCAGGAAAGATGTTGTAATAGAGGTGGTGCAACAAAAGATAACCAGACATCATCTCAGATGCTGGGACTGTCCCAGAAAATAGAGATTGGGCAAACTGGCCTTAGAGTTTTGAAGAATGAGAAGTGATCTTATTGGCATGTCTAAAATACATGAAGGGGTGGACAGAATAGGTGCAATTAAGATGGTTCCCCTGTTTGGGGTATCTAGAACCAGGGAGTAGAAATTATAAATAGGGCAACTGCCACTGAGGTCCAGGTGGCATTATTTTATTATGTATTGTTTATTACTTTATGGGGGTGGACAATTGTTTTTCAGACTGGAGGCCTGTAACCAGCGGTGTTCCTGGATTGGTCCTGGGTCCACTTTTTTGTTTATCATTTAGGTAAGTGATTTAGATGAGAATATAGAAAGCATGGTTAGTAATTTTGTGGCTGACACCAAGATTGATAGTACAGTGGGCAGTGAAGAAAGTTATCTAAGATTGCAAAGAGGTCATGGTCAATTGAGTCAATGGGTTGAAGAATGGAAGATGGAGTTTAATTTGGAGGTATTGCTTTTTAGTAAAACAAACCAAGGCAAGTCTTATACAATTAAAAGTAGGGCCTTGGATAGTATTGTAGGACAGAGAGACGTGGGGTTCAGGTACGTAATTCAGGTACATAATCTATGTGTGCATCACATAGATAGGGTAGTTAAGGCATTTAGCATGCTTGCCTTCATTGCTTACACCTTTGAGTATAGAAGTTGGGATGCTATGTTGAGATTGTACAGGATGTTCTAGAGACCTCTTCTGGAGTACTGTGTCCTGTTCTGGTCACCCTGTTATAGGAAGGATATTATTAAGCTGGAGAGGGTTCAGAAGAGATTTACCAAGATGTTACTGGGAATCAAGGGCTTGCATTGTAAGGAGAGGCTGGATAGGCTGGAACGTTTTTTCCTGGAGCATAGGAGGTTTAAAAAAATCATTAAAAACTGAAAGAACTGTGGATGCTGTAAATCAGGATCAAAAACGAAGCTGCTGGAAAAGCTCAGCAGATCTGGCAGCATCTGTGGAGAAAAAAATCCAGAGTTAACATTTCGGGTCCAGTGCCCCTTCCTCAGGACTCAACATGGAGAAAAAATAGTCCTGAGGGAGGGTCACTAGACCGGAAATGTTAACTCTGGATTTTTTTTCTCCACAGATGCTGCCAGACCTGCTGAGCTTTTCCAGCAGCTTCTGTTTTTGTTTAAAAATCATGACTGGTGTAGATAAGGTGAATGGCAGGTGTTTTTCTTAAGGTGAGGATTTCAAGACTAAGGGGCATATTTTTAAGGTGAGAGAAGAAAGACTTAAAAAAGGTCATGAGGGGCATTTTTTTTTTAACACAGATTGGTTCATGTCTGGAATAAACTTTCAGAGGAAGTGCTGGATGCAGGTACAGCTACAATGTTTCCAAGACATTTAGATAAGTACATGACTAAGAAAAGTTTTGAGGATATGGGCCAAGTGCAGGCAGGTGGAACTAGTTTAGTTTGGGATTATGGATGGCATGGATTGGTTGAATGGAAGAGTCCTTTTCTGTGCTGTATGACTATGACTCTATTCGGAGTGTTGTGAGCCTTTAGGATAATGCAGTGGACTGTGGAAACTCAGTTCTTGAGTATGTTTAATGTAGAGATTGATAGATGTCGAATTACTAATGCATTCAGCTATGCTCCTTCCCAGGCTTCCTGCTTCTGCATGGATCACTGAGGTCTGGGTGGCAGCAACTTCTGCAACCTGATATCAATGGGCCCATACGCTGATCGGCAGCATGGCTGTACAGCTGAGAGGGAACATGGGTGTACTGCATTGTAGGAGTTGATAAAAGTCAATGAAAGCTACAATCAGTCATGATCATATAGAATGATAAGATAGTTTTGATGGGCTGAATAGCCTCTTGTTCTTATGTTCCTATTATCAAAGGGTTAAAATCCAGGCAGTGCTGCAACGTCAGAGAATCAGTACCGAGGAGGAGCACAGCACTGTCAGTGGATCAGCACTAAGGAAGCACTGCATGGTCAGAGTGTCAGTACTGAGAAAGTGCTGTATGGTCAGACAGTCGGTACTGAGGGAGTACTGCATTGTTGGAGGGTCAATACTGAGGGTGCACTGCAAAGAAGAAAGGGTCATTACTAAGCGAGTGTGTAGAGGAAACATTGGTGTACAGGATTGTGGGGATGGAAGTTATTGAAGTGTTTAATGTTCATGGTTGTACAGAATGACGACAATTTTGCTGGGCTGAATGGCTACTCCTTTTCCTCTCTTCCTAACCCAGAGTGTCAGCACTGAAGCAGTGTTGCACTGTCAGAAGGTCAATACTGAGATGTACTATATTGTTTCAGGGGCACCACTCCGTATCATCTGCGATGTGTCTGCCTCTTCACCATTGCATCTAATGAAGTTGCGGCATTTGACTCGCAGGCTGGAAGAACCGAATCTTATTCAAACCTCATTTGGTTCAGTTCAATTTTGTGACAGCAATTCGGGAAGGATTGGTTGGTCTTTGAGAGGCTACCAGACTTTCACTGGAATGATGCCAGGGCTTAACGGGATGTTGAATGGGCGTGTTTTTTTATTCACTGGTTTAGGGAGGGATGAAAGTCTAAAATGTTAAAGTAATGTAGGTACAGTAAAATTATTTCCTGTGGTGGAGAAATAAATATTGATGCAATGAAGTTAAAATACAGAGCCCCAGTGATCTAATTGAATTGTGTAGCAGGCTCATGGGGCTGAATGGCCTCCTCTGAGCTTGATGTTTTTCTGTCACTACACATGTCAAGCTACTTTAAATTTAGTTCATTTTTCCTGGTAATTAGCAGTGCAGCCGGCACTATTTATCTGATTGATTAATTCACAATGTTTTGAGTTTGTTTCTCACCCTGACGCACTGACACGTACTTTCAGAGTCTCTCAGTTGAATCACAGGCTGCTTTTATTCTAATTGGATTGGTGGTGTGATGGTGACAATTCAGAATGGAGTTGTTGAGGAATCCGAAAATTAGCTGCTTTCATAGCATCAGTATAGGGAACAGACTAAGAAGGAAGTGTTAATGATATTTGCACAGCTCATCGACAGAGAGAAGTTATCAGTACAGGACGTAGTACACAGACTGAGAGGAACAGTATCCGGATTAAGACAAAGCTCCCAGGCTGAAAGGGACAGCAGGGAGTGTGGGGGTGGATGATACAGGGTCAAGGGCCTGGAGTGTGGATGGATAGGAACATAGTGACAGGAGAACACCATTCAGCCCTTCCACCACATTCTGTTGCTCAATTTGGTCATGACTTACTAGGACGACAACTCCATACTCATTGCATTGATTTATCAAAAATCTATTGCTCTAGAGTTTTCAAAATCCATTTCAACCTTAACATCCATGGTTTTCTGAGGGAGAGAGTTTTAGATTCCCACTACCTTTTGCATGAAAATGGTTTCCTGATGTAAGTCCTGATTGGTCTTGCTCTCATTTTAGGTTTCCATCCTCTTGTTCTTCATTCACCTACCTCATCCAATGAAATTGTTCCTCTCTATCTGGCTGTTGAATCCTTTTTCCCAGCCTTTTTAAACTCAAGTGACTATGAGCTCAGTCTTTGGCTCAGAAGAAGAACAATTTATTATAGGGTCTGTAAAAATCATTGAATCCCTACAGTGTCGAAATAGGCTATTGAGCCCATCAAGTCCACACCAACCCTTCAAAAAGCATCCCATCCAGACCCACCGTATATATGTAACCCTGCATTCCCTGTGGCTAATTCACATTCAGCCTGCACATCCATCGACCCTATTGGCAATTTAGCATAGTCAATCCACTTGCATATTTTTGGATTGTGGGAGGAGACCAGAACAAAACCCAGACACAAGCAGAACGTGCAAACTCCACTTTGTCAGTCCCCTGAGGGTAGAATTGAGGCAACAGTGTTAACAACTGTGCCACCTGCAACCATGGTAATTCGGTAGATAAAAATCCAGGATTAAATGCTATATTCCTGGATTAGACAAACTAATTTGACTCCAGGCTGCTGTTAGTTTATTTGTTTATTAAATAATTTAATAATGATTGTAACCGGATATTTCACCGCACTCTTGAACTGCTCTCTGAACATTGACTGAGTCACGCCATAAATAAATGTATTCGTGCAGCAACTTAAACTCTGGAGCATGGATCCGACCTGCTGAAAGATGTATGAGGAATATCTGTAATAATTGAGAGTTGCTCCTGTAATGACAAATAATAAATATATAACGTATGTCAACCACAGGAGTATGAAGCTGCTGGATACGCAGAAGAGTAAAATTATGGACTTCCTCCTGTTCTCCATCTCTGGGTCACTGTCATTTTCTCTCCTGTTCTGACCTGTCAGTCCCTTACGAACTTGACTGGTTATTAAAATGTGTCTGACGGTCAGAGCGTTGAACAATAAAATGAAAGCAAATGGAGGCAATGGAGTTAAAAGTGTATCAAACCAATCAAATCCTACCCATCCAGGCTCAGTGAAATAGCTTTGTTTTGTATGGCAAAACCATGGCACATTGTTGATCACTTCTGTAGGTTCAAGTGTAAAGTAGAAGGGAATATTTTTTAAACAGAGCAATGCACCAGTTGTTGCTAGAACTGCAGACACAGCTTTCTCAGTGCAATATTTTGTTTTCAGCTTCTGACAACAAATAGCCACAAACCGATCAAAAGTGAAATCGACGGTGAACCAAACAGAGCAGTCTGTGGCTGTATGACCCAAGACAGCACGAATACTGCAGACGGGGGTGATGTTCAAGAAAAGCATTATTGGGAAATAATAGCCATTGATATAGCGTAGTATGACTTCAGTGATAATGACCATTAAATCCGCTGCTGCCATGGCCACCAGATAGCGAGTGGTACATACTGAAAGCCCACACTTTCCCCGAGATAGGATCAGTATTGTAATTAAGTTAACTGCAAAAAAAAAGATAAGGGGAAAGAGGTTGGAAATTCAAAACCAAACTTTCTATATTTCCAGTCTGATGTAAAGTTTCATAAAACATAAAGCTTTTCATCACCAGTTTAGAAACTGCCCACTTTCAGATTGAACAAGGCTGGAAAATAGGATGGGATATCTAACCAGTCCCAGGATGAATGTTGATGATGTAAGTATTTACATGACGCAGATTTGATACTGTTGGTTATAGTTTCTGAGTCCATAGGAAGCTGAAGGGAAATAAGCAGAGTGGACAACTGCTTTTACAGACGAGCAAGACTGTTCCCACCCCCTCCCACATTCACTCCCTATTGGTCTACCCCCTCTTCCTCTGAAGACATTTTCTATCTAGATTAGAAGACTCATATCAACAACTGGATCATCTATGGGTTGGTCAGACATTGGATTTCTCAAATTCATGTACCCAATGCTGCAACCTGCATGGAGGTCACTCTTTCAAATTAAGTTCAGGAAAACTGTCAAGGACAGAAGAGGCCTTGTAATGATTTATAATTGCCCAGGCATGGGAGAATGAAATTTTCAGGTACATACAACCAGAGAGTTATGCAGCATGCAATCAGACACTTTGGCCCAACCTGTCTATTTGGACAATGTTTCCCAAATGAAGCTAGTCTCATTTGACTGTGTTAGGCCCATATCCTATTCATGTAACTGTCCAAATGTCTTTTAAATACTGGAACTGTATCTTCCTCTACCACTTATTCTGGCAGTTCGTTACATATATGCACTACCCTCTGTGTGAAAAATTTGCCCCTCAGACCTTTTTTAAACCTTTTCCCTCTCACCTTAAAACTATATATTTTTGAATTCCCCTACTGTAGGGAAAAGACCTTTGCTGGTCACCTTATCTATCCTTCTCATGATTTTATAAAGCTCTATAAGGTCACCGTATCAACATTACGTACTCTGGAGAAAAAGATCCCAGCCTATCCAGCCTCTCCTTATAATTCAAACTCTCCAGTCCTGGTAAACATCCTTGCAACTCTTTTCTGCACCCTTTCCAATTTAATAACATCCTTTAATAGCAGTTTGTATCTAATTGGCTAGTTCTCCCCAGATCCCATATGATCTACTTTACTAACCAGTCTACCATGTAGAACCTTGTTGAAGGCTTTGCTGAAGTCCATGTAGACAATGTCTACAGCTCTGCCCTCATGATATCTTTGTCAATTAATCTCTGTATCCCCACCCAATATCCCAAATTTTCCCTTTTGTTACCCTGCTCCCATTCCTCAGTTTCAACAGCATAAATCTATTTGGCCCTTCCTTCAGTTCTGAAGGTAAGTCATTGTCCACTCGAGATGTGAGCTGTTTTTCTCGCTCCACAGATGCTTCTGGTCTTGATGAGTATTTTCAGATAAATTACAGAATTCCTACAGTTAGAAAGAGGCCATTTGGCCCAGTGAGTCTTCACTTCCTGTCTGAAGAGCATCCCACCCAGAACCACGCCCACCCTATTCCCATACCCCACATTTACAGTGAGTAATCAAACTAGCATGCACATCCCTGGATACTATGGGGCAATTTAGTATGACCAATCCACCTAACCTGCGTATCTTTGGACTGTTGGAAGAAATGAGAGTTCTTGGTGGAAATGCACGCAGACGCAGGCAGAACATGCAAACGCCACATAGACAGACACACTAAGCTGTAATCGAAGCTGGGTCCCTGGGCACAATGCTGCATTTTCTGCTTTTACCTGTTCCAGGTTTCTTGTCCACAACACTGCTCCTGGTATATGCAAACCAATTTTTATTATTACGCACTTCTAAGTGTTTTGAAATAAATAGAAATGAATATTGACCCTCCTAAAATTTACAAAAAAAGGGCACAGAATGCTGAAAAGAACTGGTTCGTGGATAGAGAAACAGAGTTAGCATTTTAATTTGACAATCTTTTATCAGAACTTGAATATGTTAGTGATGAATGGTATAGTAGCAGCAGTAATATTGGAGAAAAGTGCAGTAGGAGAGGAGAATACAAAACTGTGACCCAGCAGACATAACTCAACGATGAAAGGGGTGATAACATACAGGTCCAGGGGAGGGATACATGCTAGTGGAAGAGCAACAGAAGTAAGGGCCTCATAGAAAATCAGATCAAGACGATGAAGTTCATAGTGGTTCTGAATTGCATTCCCAGAATTACAATCAGCTGACCCAGTCAGCAATTATGGATCATCAATAACCTCTAGCAATAGCCCACAGCTCTCCCACTTCAAATGGCTCTGTGCAGCCATTGTCCATCACCTGAGTTACAGACTAATGAGCATAATAGTGTGTTAAAAATAGGGTGGTCTGGTTACTCAAAGATGTAACATGTAATATATAATGAGATGTAGTGTGAACATATTCCAAAAGGGAATGTTCAACATATCACATCCTGCTGAATTCTTTGAATGAGTAGATGAGGATAAAGCTATAGATGCAATTTATCTATTTTTTTTCAAAGGGAATTTTTAAAGGACCGTATTCACGACTTTTGAATAATCTCAGAGTAATTGGAGTTGAAGAATCTCATTTGTAAGAAAACAAAAACCTTGATTTGATTTGATTTGATTTATTATTGTCACATGTACCTAAGTACAGTGAAAAGTTTTGTTTTGTGTGCAGCACAGCAGATCATAACATATAAAGACACAGTGATCATAGGATGGTTGAACAGAGCGAGGAATACAAAGTTATGGCTGCAAAGAAGCTGTAAAAATTAGGATCAACATTAGATTCGAAATTTGACAGGTCCATTCAGTAGTCTAATAACAACAGGGCAGAAGCTGTTCTTGAACCGTTGGTGCATGTGTTTAAGCTTTTGTAACCTAGAGTAGGAGCTTAATATATTAGTACAATGTTTGTCACTTGGCTCATTACTAATACCATTTACATAAACAACATGCTCTTGGCAGTCAGAAGCACTCATTTAAAATTAGCAGAGGAACTGAAAGGGAGAGTCCAATTAATTCTAAGGAAGAAATAAGAAAAAAATTGAAGCTATTTATAAATGATCAGGGTGGGATTCTAAATAACAAATGACTTTCAATATAGTTCAGTGTAAAGTTCTGCATCTTGGAAGGAAGGATAAGTTACTCATTAAAAATAAGGCTATGTGAATCGTGTAAAGGGACAAAAGATTTCTGCAATACAGATTCAATTTTTTTAGAGCAACACAGAACAATGGTTAAAACGCAAAACAAACAGGAAACATCACTGGGCTTCTGTCCTACATGAATAATATTGAAAAACAAAAAGCTGTGTTTAACTCACTTAGAAGCTTTGGTATCCAACGCTTAGCAGACTGCATACAGAGTGCTTATTTCCACACTGCAAAGCAGGTCACTGAACTCCAGGAGAACATGCAGCTCTTTAGAGTTGCAAAATGGTTACTATCAGAAACAGAAAGTTGAGGGGCAGACCTAACTGAAACCCTTAAGTTGATGAAGAAGGGTGATAGGTTGAATGTGAGAATACATTTCCACTTTTAGACATAAGATGGCCTGCAGACAATTCAGTAAGGAATTCATGACAAATTCAATTATACATAAGGCAAATTGTGGAATTTTCTGCAAAATTGTGTATTTGAGGTGAATAGCATGGATATATTTAAGAAGATGCTAATGAGATGAGAATGGAAGGGATAGAGTAAGTGCTGAATAGTTTAGTTTCAGTCAGGAGCAGACAAAGTCTATAACATAAAGCATCTGCACTTTACCTTGGACCAGGTTCTGAGGAATTACAATAAATTGGATAATTCATCTTTGGCATGTGAGGTCAATAGAAACAGAGCAATGAACTTGGATGCATCCTATGAAGCAGAACTAAATTACTGATTGTGAAATTGTAGGCATAATTCTCATCAGAAATAACATTATCAATGAATGAGCAAAATCAAATGTGTACAATACAAATAATGGTAGTCACTTACCAGGAATACCAATGATAGCAAGGATCACATAGTATATTTTCACAATACTGTCAATTGGAAGGTGCATTTTCTGTTTGAAGTGACCTGTCCTTTTGTGCTGTAAGCATTCTCCCTGAATTAAACTTTGAGGTAATGTATTTCCCAGAGCCTTCAATTTATATGCTAAGGGTCCTCCACTGGGATAACCATTATATTGTTTTTTGAAAGTTACACAAACACATTACGAGTGTCAAGTTAAGTCTATTTGATGGTAGAGTGCATTTAGCACTGAAACTTTGGTTGAGAACTCTTCAGAGAACTGAGAACTAAACAGCCCCAAAGGGGAAAAAAAAGGCATCAGTACAATATGTTAGACCATCTGAAAATAACATACTGCCTCAAAATAATATGTCATCTCAAAGTGATACAGCAACTCTATCAGTACACCACCTTAAACTCATATAATGATTCAATCTAACAAAATTTCTCTGTCTAACAGAGCACCTCAAGCGAATGTTGCAACTGAAACTCAAATCATCTCAAACATGGGGCTCCACTGCAGGCATTTGTCAGGGTAGCTGTTTAGGCCTAACCACCTTCATATGATCAGAGGTATGGATTTTCATTGATGATGTTCAACATCATTGAAAATCCCCAGACTGAAGCAGTCTATAGCAAAACGCAGCATAACAGAGACAACCTCCAGGCTTGTGCTGGTAAGTGGCATCTAATATTCAATCCAAATAAGCTCTAGCCAATGATCATCATCCACGAAAGAGAATCTGACCATTATCTCTTGAAACATCCCTACTGCTGAATCCCCCACTATAGCTATCCTGGGGGTTATTATTGACAAGAAAATTAACTGTGTCAGCCATATAAATATTAAAGTGACGAGAATAGATCAGAGGCTGGAATAACTCACTTGCTGACTCCTCAAAGTCTGTTCATCATCTTCAAGATACAAGCTAAGGGTGTGATGGATATCTCCCCACTTGCCTGGAAAAGTACACCTCCAACAACACTTAAGATGCTCAACAACATTCAACGTAAAGGTTGGTCATAGTAGACTGGTTAGCAAGGTCCGATTACATGGAATACAGGGAGAACTATCCATTTGGATAAAAAACTGGCTCGAAGGTAGGAGAACATAGAACATTGGACATAGAACATTACAGCGCAGTACAGGCCCTTCGGCCCTCGATGTTGTGCCGACCTGTGAAACCAATCTGAAGCCCATCTAACCTAAACTATTCCATTATCATCCATATGTTTATTCAATGACCATTTAAATGCCCTTAAAGTGGGCGAGTCTGAGACAGAGGGTGGTAGTGAAGGGTTGCTTTTCAGACGACAGGCCTGTGACCAGTGGTGCATCATAAGGATCGGTGCTGGGTCAACTGCTTTTCGTCATTTATATAAATGATTTGGATGTGAATATAGGAAATATAGTTAGTAAGATTGAAGATGACATCAAAGTTGGAGGTATAGTGGACAGTGAAGAAAGTTATCTCAGAGTACATTGGGATCTTGATCAAATGGGCCAATGGGCCAAAGAGTGGCAGATGGAATTTAATTTAAATAAATGTGAGTTGCTGCATTTTGAAAAGGCAAATCAGGGCAGGACTTATACACTTAATGGTAAGACCCTGGGGTGTGTTGCTGAACCAAGAGACCTTGGAATGCAGGTTCATAGTTCCTTGAAATTGGAGTCCCAGATTGACAGGACATTGAAGAAGGTGATTGGTATTTATGCCATTTTTGGTCAGTGCATTGAGTTGGGAGGTCATCTTGTGGCTGTAGAGAGCGTTGGTTAGGCCACTTTTGGAATACTGGGTGCAAATCTGGTCTCCCTGCTCTCAGAAAGAAGTTGTGAAACTTTCAAGGTTTCAGAAAAGACCTAAAAGGGTATTGCCAAGGTTGGAGGGTTTGAACTACAGGGAGAGGCTGAATAGGCTGGTGCTATTTTTCCCGGGAGTGTTGGAGGCTGAGGGGTAACCTTATAGAGGTTTATAAAATCATGAATGACATGCATAGGGTGAATAGACAAGGTGTTTTCCCTGGCATGGGAGAGTCTAAAACTAGAGGGCATAGGTGAGAGGGGAAAGATTTAAAAGGGACCTAAGGGGCAACTTTTTTATGCAGATGGTGGTGCGTGTATGCAATGAGCTGCAAGAGGAGGTGGTGGAAGCTGGTACAAAATTTAAAAGGCATCAGAATGGGAAGATGAATAGGAAGGGTTTAGAGTGATATGGGTCAAATGTTGGTAAATGGTGCTAAATGTATTTAGGTCATCTGGTCGGCATGGACGAATTGGAATGAAGAGTCCATTTCCATGCTGTACAGTTCTATGACTCTATGACAAAGAAGCCCATTTGATTGGCACTCAATTTTTCTCCATCAGCACTTATCACTGTTACATAGTAACACTGGTGAGTAATAACTATGAGATATACTTCTATTCATATTGCTCCTCAAATAGCATGTACGACATCTAATACCTAGAAGAAGTACACTGCTGCAAAATGCTGCCCAACCATCTTGAAGCAGAGATCTATCTCAGCCCCTTTAATGTTGTTGGAAAAGCCTGGAACTCCCTTCCAAAATCAGGGTGCTGCACCGACATGACATGGCCTGGAGCAGCTCTGTATCACATTCACCAGGACAACTGTGTGATAAATTTTGGTCTAGACAGTAACAGTTATTGCCATCAATATATATAGACTAATATATTCCCTTCAATTATTATTGAGGATTACATAGGATTTACACAGGAGTCAGGCAACTCCATGGTGGTTTTTATCCTGCACTTGAGCTTCCTCCCATTTCTCAACATACGTGAGTAAGAGAGACATGATTTAAATGGACACGGTCTCCTTGCGACCACAACTGGAGATCTCTATACACATTCGATCATTGTGCATAAGACCATAAGACCACGATACAATACATCATAGGTTCAGAAATAAGTCAAGTGGACCATTGAGTCTGATCCATCATTCAATGAGGATCATGGCTAACCTGGTAATCCAAAACACCACTTTCTTGACTTCCCCCCATAATCCTTGAATCTATTTCTGATAGAAAAAAGTCTCCCAAAGCCTTGAATACACAGAATAATGAAGCCTCTGCAGCATTTTCTAGAAAAGAAAACCACAGATGCACTATCTTCATTTGAGGGAGCACACATTGACTGCATTGGAACCATCCCTTCTTTGAAGTTAGCCCATTGCTTAGTTACTGTTTTCCTTGCCAACTTCTTATTCCAGTCAATCCTGCCAAGTGCTATTCTTGCTCCGCTGAAGTCGGTTCTCCACCAATTGAATTTTCTTACTCTGGACTGTTTTATATCATTGTCCACCATCACCCTGAATCTTACAATACAATGAGCACTGTCTTAGAAGTTTTCTGCATGAACCGTGTGATCCGCCTCATTTCCAAGAACCACGCCAAACAGTACATCCTTTCTCTTTGGACTAGAAACATACTGCTGTAGGAGCCTGCCTGCATTAAACTATGACATGTATCCTCATCTATGGTAGTTTAAGTCTCCCATTACAATTGCTGTATTGTGTCCATATTTTATCTGTTATTTCCCTTCGCATTTGTTTTTCTATGTGATTATCATTAGTTGAAGGTCTATAGACTAAGATTACAAAGGGATCTTGATCAAATGGGTCAATGGGCTGAAAAATGGCAGATGGAGTTCAGTCTGGATAAATGCAAGGTATTGCACTTTAGTATAACAAACAAGAGTAGGGCTTATACAATTAATGGTCAGCCTTGGGTAATGTGGTAGAACAAAGGAAACTAAGGGTTCAGGTGCATACCACTTTGAAGTTGTGTGACATATAGGCAGGGTGGCTAAAAGGCTGTTGGCACACTTGCCTTCATTGCTCAGTCCTTTGAGAATAGGAGTTGGCGAGTCATGTTGAGGTTGCACAGGACCTTGGTGAGTCCTATTCTGGAATATTGTGCCCAGTTCTGGTTGCCCATTTATAGGAAGGATATTATTAAGCTGGAGAGGAGAGGCAATCTTAAGGAAGCATATAAAATAATGAGGGCTATAAATAGAGTTAAGGGTAGTTTTCATTTCTCTAGGTCGGGGGATTTCAAGACTAGGGGGCACATTTTTAAGGTGGGAGGAGGGAGATTAAAAATGACATGGGGGAAATATTTTTATACAGAGGGTAGTTCACATGTGAAATCAACTTCTTGAGGAAGTAGTGGATGTGTGTACAATTACAACATTCGAAAGACTTTTGGACAAGTACATGAATTGGAAAGGCTTGGAGGGATATTAGCCAGGAGCAGGCAAGTGGGATTAGTTTAGTTTGGGATTATGTTTGTCATGGTTGGGCCAACGGATCTGTTTCTGTGCTGTATGACTTTTTTGACTCTATGCCTATACCTAGCAGTGTAATTGTACTTCCTTTGTTCCTTAGTTCTGGCCAGATTAATTCTGTATTTGGACTCTCTGAGACATCCTCTCTCTCCGGCATGGTAAAGCCCTTAAATAATACTACTTCTCTTTTCCTTTCCTTCTTTTTCTGTACTTTCTGAACACCATATACTTAGGAATATTTAAGACACAGTATTGCCCTACCTTGAACCAGCTCTCTGTCATTGCCAAACATTAAAATTCTACAATGACAATCTGTGCCTGTAATTTCTCAGTCGTACTTAGAATACCCCATGCTTTCAGATAAATACACAATAATCTTGATTTATAAACACCCTGCCAAGTTACTTGAAAATCTTCTCACTATCAAAACAGTCTGCAAGGAACTCAGTGCCAGATCTGTTCAGGTGCAGAAAGATTTCTGAAGAAGGGTCTAGATCCGAAACATCAGCTTTCCTGCTCCTCTGATGCGGCTTGGCCTGCTGTGTTTATCCAGCTCTACACCTTGTTATCTCAGATTCTCCAGCATTGGCAGTTCCTACTATCTCCCTAAACAAACACAGAGTTCTGAATAAACAAAGCAGGTCTGAATAGAGATAACAGAGTTAATATTTCGAGTCGAGTAAACTTTTTACAAAAATATTCTGATGAAGGGTCAATGAAACTGAAGCATTAAATGCTTATCT